TCATCTTTATTAAGCCTTATTAGTAGGTCCACTGAAAACATCATCTTTATTAAGTATATATACATATATATAATGGAACGAGGTACAATTCAGGGTCTTTTGCAATAATATACATATGATATTGACACCAAACGACACAAAACTGAATCTACACTTTCAATCAGAGGAAGAATGGCACTGTAAGAAACGTTATGTTGCTTGGCTAATAAAAAAAAAAAGGAAATAGATCTATAATATAAAATCTGTCAAATTTTTTTGGTGAGGCTTCTACAATGTTGTTTCTGTGCATGGTGGCTACTGTGATGTTGTTTTAATCAAATTAATGTTAGATCTACGATTAACATTGAAAAAATAACGCCGTAAAATAGCAAGTAATCATATTCTCTAAGTTAAATTACTCCCTTGTACTAATTATTTACAGTTAACCTTTTGGAAAGTATTTCTTCTGAGGCCTAGCACAAGTTTCGACCTGAATTTCGTTTTATACAGAATGGGTCAATTTCAGATATACAACTATCTCTTATATGCTGACAGTTCATATCGAGCAGTCTGCTTGTTAATTTATTATTAACTAAAATAATATTAATGTATATATATATAAAGTGTATTAGATCTACATACACTATTACTGATTTCAGATATTGAAAATAGATACAAAACACTTAACAACAAGATCTGGTTGACAAGACTCCACACACTTTAACATATATAACATGTGTAATAAAGTTTATAGATATGTAAACTACTACACATTTTTACTACAAAGTTATTTTCTTCAAAAAATATAACCTTACTTATTCGCCTACATGCAATGAAACACTCACATAATGATCGACTACTCAAAGTTTAGCTGGACACTATTTGTAGGTCTTCCCACTTTTTACTAGTCTAAAACAATGGTTTATTATTGGGTTTAAACTTGTAATCTACATTATTTTAGCCTCTCGACAAACTGGCAATCAGGAAGTATATAAAGACTTCCTGCTGATTATTAAAACAAATATACCATAATAGTTTAAAAAATTGTAGAAGTGACATTCTTAAAAGACAGTTACTATTAGGTGATGACCCGCATTTAGAGAGTTGAGATACATTATGTAATCTAAGTAGTGGTTCTTAACCCTTAAATAAAAGTTTATTGTTGTATAAAAATCATATTCATTGCAATTTTTCTATACAGTTACTATTCGCAGCATTGTCATTTGTCTTATTTTACAAAGAACTGTTTTTACAGCAATAGCAATGAGGGGTGAAGAAAGTCTAGAAAGCTGAAAAGTTTTGAACTTTCTTTCCAAATGTATGAGTATTAATCCAAGATATTTTCCATATTTTAAACCCTAAAAAAAGATCTTCTGAATCACAATATCACCAGTCTAGGTGGGTTGATGAACAATGGCATTGTTCAATCTCTGTAGTTCTTAGCTGACAATGATATCGGTTTGTTACCTAATGCTGTATAGCCACAAACTTTACCAATGTGTACTTACATCGGCTGACTGCTTTCCGGTAAATGACATCTTTTTGATAGCCACCACTTCTGAAGTGACACTGTTTCTTGCCTGTAAAAATCAAGGCAAAAAACTAATTTGAGAAGTATACATCAAGAAATATAAAATATCTAATGAAAGACAAACTTTATAAATATACTGTGTAAAGTTAAGCATTACTACCAGAATTATGACA